GTCCAGGGCCGTGGTCCCATTACCAAGGAGCATCAGATTGAATGCCTGAATCTGGACGTGTTTTGAGGACAGGAACAGGAAATCGGGATCGAACTTCTTTTCTGTATCTCTGCATAGAACATAGCCAGATTCTGAATTTCTATCCTATCCCCTTTGCTAGAACATAGCCAGATTCTGAATTTCTATCCTATCCCCTTTGGTAGTGGGACCACGGCCCAGGAATATGAGACCACGTCCCATCCCATCCTCACGTCAATACTCCTAGGGCACCCCCTATCCCACGATCCTACCTCAGTGTGACCAGCACTCAGGACCATTGTCCTACCATTGGGTAGGTTTCTTTTTTTTTTTTTTTTATAGAGGATGCTCCAATCTATTCGTGGGGAGCAACACAGCTGGGAACCGGGCCCAGTAGGCTCCACCTCTAGACTAACGATCTTTTCCTCTCTGACCCTTGTCCCTCTACCTTCTTCCCCCGATTACAACGTACGGTCATTATAGCTGTATCTAGACTGAAAATTGCCCTCAAATACAGCTATAATCGCCCTACGTTGTAATCGGGGGAAGAAGGTAGGGCCCATCCTGCCACGCCGTTGTATGCATCCTATGTGATGTGAGGGGTGTGTGATACGCAACCTCACGCCCCCTCGCGGTGTCCCGTACGGGGTCGCCGATCAGAGTTCTAGGAGGGGCATGGCCGAGGATTTATGGCCGTAAGGGTTGAGTCTCCCGGACGGAATGGGAGGCCCTCGTTTCGTGCCAGATGTTTTCCCCGGGGTCGAACTGTCGCCGGGAAGTCCCGTGGGGGTCGGATCACTCCGAGACCATAAAATCAAAAAGGTCTCCGCAAAAACGAACTGCCGTCGTGCATCAGGATGGGAAAAGGCATAAGAAAGGGGGGGGGCATGGCGGTGGAAGACAAAACTTCGGCCGTCAGGGGTTTGGAGGATAGGTGGTGGGTTCGAAGCCTTCAGGCCTCATCCTCGATTCTCACGAAGTGGCCGAACCCTCGGGTCTTTGCTGTAGAGGTGGTTGATTCGAGGCCGTCAAGCCTCGGCGTCAGACTCACAGAGTCCGCGCGAAAGTTTCCGGGAGGGTAACGCGGCGGGAGGACTCGTCGGCATCCGAATTCGAAATTGCGTGGGCAGCATCCCCGCACTACGGGAAAGCTCGGGGAAACGTGTCGCTCCCTCGTAACCCAGGACCAGCCGTCGCCAAGAACACGAGTCCCCCTGGCGACACCAGCGACAATCAAACTGCGGCCGCCACGCGGCGTAAGCGGCCGACCAGGGCAACACCGTTAAGCCCGTGTAAGGGAATATTAGAGTCGGGGAATCAAAACGATCGATCAGGACAAACCCGTTCCCCCTTATATCACACGCCCGAGGCGGGTCCTGCCAACACACTTGMTCCGTCCGCCTCAGCGCGCGCCRTACGTCCGCATCGCAGTAGACGCTGTCGTCATCTGTGATGGGGAAGGTCGGTAGCGAGATGAGACGGTCGGAGGTACGCGATGAACACGAGCAAGATCCCGCGTTCCAGGTCATCCGAACCAACACCGAATCCATACAACAATCGACGCAATTCTTCTCTCTTAAAAGTGGGTGTGTTGAGGGAAGATGATGAAGTTTAAGCTTTCTCCCCTTGAGGGGGCGTCGACCGTCCGCGCGGACGCAGGCGGTTGACGTCACCGGTACGGGGAGAAGAAGCTCCATGAGCGATGACTATCAGTTCAAAAAGGAAGGAGAG